AAAGTGTCTGATATCTTTTGACTTTCCTTGATCGAAGAAAGAAACTGATTTCATATGCTTAATCTATATTCATTAATTTGAATTTTGATTAGTCTTGTCATTGACTGTGGTCAAAGTCTGTCCTCCTCATAGCGATTTCTATGAAAACGATTTCTAATTTTCCTTAATTCTTTTAGTTTCACTAGAATCTCCACGGGCAGAGTAGGATTCCATTTATCTCGATCGTTCCATTATGTGAGACAATTCTTCATTGCTGAGAGAAATCTTATGTATTCTCTATACCATTGTAGTGCAGGTTTATATTCTAATTATTTCAACCAGTACTCTTGAAGTAGGCAGGGTAGCAATTCATATATTCTCCACTATACCATTGGAAATTTAATTATTGATTCCAAAAAGAACGTTTTCGGATTTGTAGATAAGCGGCCCGTGGTCGCTCGAACCAAACTCTAAAGTTTCTCCTGTTATGCCGATGAAGTTGGCAAATGTAAAATCGATGCTCTGGGAAGAGCGTTTAGAGGAATTAGTTGTACATTCGATATATTGTAGATTGTTATCTTCATTTCAGTTTTTTATCACTTTTCCTCTTCTATCAGTTATTGGACTATTCCATTGCATGACAGATGCGTTAAAGTCTTCGGCTATGATTGCATTTTTAGTAATGAATGAAATAATCTCATTAATGTCTCGTTTGTGACTATTCAGCCAATATAGGGTGTGAGTGTGTATTTGATGCAAACGTATCCACATACTCACACTCACACCCTACGTTTGAACTCAGTCAATCTTGGGTTTTGATAGTACCAGATAGAAAACTGAAAATTTTTAGTAAAATTTAGCAAAAGTTTTCCTTAAATTGTATTCTGGATGTCCATTGATTCGTACTGATTTGGGAACAGTGGTTGGTGACTTATTAATCAGCATCAGTGCTCACATGTATGCGAAAGAACCAAATTGTGCACATACTTGGTTCGGAAAGATAAACATAGCAACCAGTGATGACGATGAGAACCACTGTTTTCATATCAGCACGAACCAGTACTCTAGCAGAATACATTTTAAGAAAAATTCCGGCTAAATCTTACTTAAAATTGGAAGGTTTCTGTGTTTTACTAACAAAATTCAAGATTGATCGAATCCAAACTCAGTCTTGACTTTGATCTGCGTCATTCTCAGATTGGACAGAATCAGAGTTTGGAAGCTGATGTATAAAGAGCGGACCAGAAGTCTTGACCGAATTTGAAGGCGGATGAGTACTTTGATGCAGAAATTTATTCTTTCATCCCAATAGCAACTTTTAATTGTTGAATGAAGAGGAGGAGTGATTTATTCCCACCTGACCGTAAATGTTTGAAAAGAAATGGTTAACTTCATCATGATTTTGTTACAAAAGAACACTGCTTTATCTATTAGGCAAAGCATAATACAGGCAATATCTCACTTTTTTTATCCCTTGTTTAACGTATTTGATTTTTAGCTTGCGTCACAATGCATTTAGTTATGATGATTACGGTTAAGATAAATTCTTATGCAACTGTACAAAAGTTGGTATATTTGGTAAATTTTGTGAATATAATTTTATGAGTAATTCAAGTTTTGAAGAAATAATTGAACATCAATATAATTTAAAAACGGAATATTATTTGGGAAGTCAATATGTTAGAAACCGAACATGCTATAAAACTTTAACATGTAATTTTGGATTATTATGTCTTGATTGGAGAAACATATGTGATGGTGAACAGCAATGTTTTGATGGTTTGGATGAAAATAATTGTGAATTATTAGAATATAATGAATGCCAACCTAATGAATATCGATGTGAAAATGGACAATATATTGATGAAGAATTCTTTTTAGATGGTGATATAGATTGTATGGATCGTTCTGATGAACAATACAAAATCTTATCACAATTTCATATTGTATTTACAACTTGTGGATTTAAACCGGATTTTAATTGTGATGAATTATTATTTCCAAGAAAAGACTTCTCTTGTGGTGATGGTGGACTCTACCCAGATAGAGTTATATTCCATAGAGAGTTACTTGACGGTGATCATTGTTTTAGTTTTAGGGATAAAAATTGCATGTGTGAATTAGATAAATATGTACCGATGTGGACGATGAATAATGGACAGTGTGTACTCTACGGTCGGTTAGAAGGTAACAGTACGAATGATATATGTTTATTTTTGATTAAGTGCACATTAAACAATGGTCAATGACTCGGATGTCCTTGTAATGGTCAAAATTGTAAAAATATTATTATACATTATGGTTGTACAATAGACGATGGATATGTTGAATATCCTAAAGGAAGTATATTTGCTCCATATGTAAAAACATTTTATAAGTTGGAAAATCTTCATACGAATAGACAACCGGATAATTATTCATTTACTGATAGTGTTAAATGCATCGGATGTCAAGCTTATGCCAAAGAACTATTTCTACTAGACTATGATGCTTATACATATGCTACCTCCTCTCACTAGCGTCCATTCGAGCAAATATTTTGCAGCATAAGTTATGCATCATTTTTTATTCGTAATTCATCAGGTCCACAATACGATCAAAACTGTTGGAATAATTCGTATAAATCGCTCAAATGTCCATATTCTGATTGATGTATATCTATATATCGTGTAGCTGATGGAAACGTTGATTTTGAAGTAAATGATGATGAACCATTTTTAACAAATGGTGCATATTTTGCTCCCGTAAATTGTTCATCAATTCAAAAACATCGTTTTCGTTGTTCAATAGAAGAACCATCATGTTTTTTAAGTTCAAATATTGGATATTCTATTCGACATTGTATCACAAATAATCGTGATGAATATTCTGTTGAAATGGAATTAAAATTATCAAATAGTCTATGCACAGTTAAAAATTCTGTTGAATGTACATTAGCGAAAAAATATATCGAGCAATCATCATCGCTTATTTCATTAACAAACACAACAGATAATAATACAAATATAAATTTGGCATTATTATTTTCTAAATCAATGTTATTTAGTCAATATTGTGATACATTTTGGAATTTAATATTAGGTTTTGATGAAACATCATATTTATGCAAAGAATGGATTTGTCCAAGTAACTATTATCAATGTTTGAATGGGCAATGTATTCCATTGGATTGGATTTGTAATGGTGAATGAGATTGTAGTGATGGAAGCGATGAAGAAGATTTATTATCAATAATTAAACTTTCACAACATAATTCCAAAATAATAAATTTGGATAAATTAAAATTACAATGCCTACAAGAACATTATATTCGTTCATTCTCCAATATTTGTACTATTTTTGAATATCCATGTATATTAGCCAATGTTAAAGATCCATTTAATTTTACTGAAAATCGACCATGTATAAATGTTAGTAAAATAGGTGATGGAAAATCTGATTGTTATGATGGATTAGATGAACGAAACGTTCGTAGTTGTTCTGTACAACGAATGTTAGGTTTTGAATTTGAATGTCAAGCTGAAAAACCTGAAGATATTGCTGATAGTCATTGCATTCCATATGGTGATCAATGTAGTCTTCACTGTTTAATTGGTGAAGACAAGACATTATGTTTTTATTTAAAAAATAATTCTAGAATTCGTTGTGATGGTTCAATGGTTATGAAAATAGAATCGTACAAAGATGTTCATTGTCTCGATGGTACATGCATACCAAATTCAAGATGTAATGGAATTTCTGAATGTTTCTATGGTGAAGATGAATACTATTGTAGTAAAGAATCAGCAATATTTACAAAATATCGAGGGTTTAAACATCGTTACATGAATAATATTCTATAAATAGTTAATCTACCGAGCTATCCAGAAAAAGTTGATGAAACATTAAACCAAGATCAAATTATTCGACATACAAAACACCATGATTACAGCGATCATTTTCTTCAAATTTCATCGAATATATCCTCTATTATTCATCGAATTATCTGGAAAAAAAGTATCATCTTCACTTCAGGTCATGACTTTTGTCAATGATATGCAACGATATAGAAATACAAATGACTATATATATTTTAATCAAAGTAACGTTAATTATAATCTTTTACAAATAGAACAACTGCTGATACATCAATCAATTGAGCCACGGACATGCAATCGAGGAGTAGCAGTCGAAAGACGAATGAATAATTCTTCAAATGCAATCATTAAATGTTTTTATCCACCAAGTTATTTTGGACGATTTTGTCAATATTATAGCGATCGTATAACAGTTATTACACATTTAGATGGTTTAAAATATATTTATAAAGATCATCAACAGTTACTGAATATTACAATAAAAGTATTAGCTACGTTCATTCATAACGAAAGTCATATCATTGATCATAATGAAATTCATTTTACACCAGTATTAAACAATTTAAATGAAAAACAAAAGTTTTGTTTTGTTTTGTTTATCCAAGACCAAGAACATTATCTCGAAATCGTCTTTATCAAATACGCTTTGAAGCATTTGAACTAAATATGAATACCACTATTCGATTATTAGCTATTTGGAAATATCCAATTGATTTTGATTTTCTTCCATCATTTCATATAGCAAAAATATTAAAATTTCAACAAAAACAAGAACAACAAACTCACCATATTTGTGAAATAAATCCCTGTCAAAATAATGGTACTTGTTATCCTATAATGAACAACAATGATTCAACTATGTATTTTTGTTATTGTGTCAATAATTCATATGAAAAAAATTGTGAACATATTGATGATTCTAGTTGTTCAATATGCTCATCGAATTCTTTATGTCGACCACATTATCATAATACTGCTGATCCATTATGTTTGTGCCCAATAAATTGTTTTGGTCCAACATGTCATTTAGAAAGAAAATGTAATATGTTTAATAATAAGAATCCCTGTTTAAATGGTGGATCATGTTCTGTCAAATATGATCAAGATGCTTTAATAAAAGATTATGTTTGCATTTGTCAACCCATGTATTATGGTGACCATTGTCAATATCTGCCTAGCCGAATTAATATACTATATTTGATCAATGATATTAATCTTCATTCGACTCTTGCATCTGTCATTCAACTTTATAATTATGATTCTCTAACATTAGATTTGATTTTAGAACAACAACAAGTTTATGAAGGTCAACCAACGTATTCAAATATTATCTATGCTGGACAATTGTTACCAAGTCTTGGTTTCCTTAAAGTATATTATCATGATAAATAACATCCAATGACACTAAATGTCAAATACTTTATATAGTCGAAAAGATGAAAGAAATATTAGTTTAACAGTTACTTTAAACATGACCAATTCTTGTCCGCATACACATTTACCATTTTTTTTTCAATTTATCACAAACAGAATATCTACTACCAAGTAAGTCCATTTTAGTTAATGAGTTTCTAAAACGAAATAATTGCAGCAGTACTCAAACAAAAAAGCTCTTTACACACGCTAAGATAAACACATTCTTATCATACGTATATGATAATGAAAGCCTGTGTAAGTTGCAAGCATAGTTTGACTGTTGAAATAAAAACTAAATGTTGCTCATGGACTCAGCTGCAAAACATGCTTTCTTACTGTATATCAAAAAAGAAGAAGTGATTATCATATATAGCTCAAATATTTAAAAGCTTTTATTTTGTTTATATTTGAAGATATTAGTGTTTCAAATGAAATGTATGGGGAATTGAATACATCAACAATAGTGTTTACATATCATAGTTTATGCCAAAATAAATTATTTTCATTACTATGTTTTCATGACGATAATTATCTTTGTTTATGCGACACAAATAAAAGGGCTGAATGTTTTCGTTATAACCGCACAATAGATTTATGTCGACATTGTTCACTGGACAGTCCGTGTATTCAAGAAGATATAAATGTCGAATCTGATTTCTTATGTTTATGCCCAGAATGTC